TTTTTAATATAATTTCATTTTATCTTTGTTCTTATCTTACTTTCTTTTCTTTTTCCCTTTTTCTCAATTTTTTTTCTTTTTCTTGTTCTAATCCCATCCCTCAAATCCAGAGACCAAGTTCATATAATCCCCTGAATACTCCTTCATTCTTCTTCTCCTACCCACTTCTCTAATTTCCCAAACCTTGTGTGACCATCCTTTGTCCTCCTGCCTTGCTTCTTCTTCCTTTCCAGGTATCTTTACCTCACACACCATCCTGCCTAAATCTGCCCATCGTAGGGTAAATCCACTCTACCAAGGGGAAACACTTCGTAGAAAATTCCTAATTTACACTTGGTTCTGTTACATAACTATAGACTTTGCTCCTTTGGTCTAAAGTACAAAATCAAGTTACCACAGTTTGTCAACTTTTTAAGTTGTGCTTGATGTGATCATTATTGCTAACTGTACTACTTTAGCTAAAACGTAGTATCTGTTGTAATCAGTAGTTCAGTGAAAACACTAGGAAGCTCCGGGGTAATAACCTCACCACAGACCTACAGCAAAAGACTGGAGAATGAGCCAAACGGATACCAACATCCCACTCTCAAGTGATTGGGAAGGTAGGATCTCAGGACAGACACAGACCAAGAGTCTCCTACACACAACGGACATCCCTGAAGAACCGTCTTTTCCTAGGGAAGCCTTGGTATTAGTGATATCTCTACCTACTACAAAAACTCACAAGGATCATCACAGAAAACAAAATTTAAAATATCCTGAAATAGAAAATGACTAGATGAAGAAGCAAAATGCAATCTCAGACCTCCAGCCTACCCAGAACAAGTAAAGGAGACATCAATATAAAAGATATTGGAAGACACACAATTTTTGAAGAAATTGGAAGACATGCTAAAATTTCTGAAATAATAACAACTCAAGTAAAGAAACAACTCCATGAGGCTACAGAAGAAACCAGATCAGAAATAATCTCTCCAGTAAAAAAGGAAATGACAAAACAAAAGAATTGCTCAGTATATCTAAAGACATACATAAAAAAAAAAAAATAGAGGAGCATAGGAAAATGATAGAAACCTTGAATGAACAATATAGAAAAGAATTAGAGTGCATTAGACAGATTCAAAAAGATATCCAGGAAATTAAAAATTCCATCAAAAGTTGCCAAAACTGCTTGAATAAAACTGAAGACAGACTTTCAGACCTTGAAGACAGGATTGCAGCTAGCAATCATGAAAGGAAAGATCTCTTAAAAATAACAAAGAACCAGGAAATAACAATTCAACAGCCTCAAGATGATGCAAAGAAAAACAAAATAAGCCTGACAGGTTGAGGCTCAATGAAAGAGCAGGAGTCAACACAAATGGCATAAAGACAATGCAGAAGTAATAGTAGAAAATATCCCAAACATGGGAACAGAATCTGACACACATGATAAGTGGGGCATATAGAACTCCAAACATCTATTACCAAAATAAATCTACACCCAGACATATAACAATCAAGATCCCAGAAATTCAGGACAAGAACAGATATCTCACAAATTTCTGAATATACTGTTAGAGAAAAGAAAAGAAACCATATCACCTATAAAGGAAAGTCCATCAGAATCATGGCCAACTTCTCAGTACAAACTCTCAAATCAAGAAGAGGTTGGAATGAAGTAGTTCAAGTCCTAAGAGAAAACAACTTCC